AACTTACAGGATTAAAGAAAACACATAAAGATGTGTTCAAGGACTTGAATCTCAAGAGTTTAGGATAGAGGGCACCTGGAAATGAAGACAATTTAGGACATAGATGGAAATAAGAGTTAAGGTTATATATAACATGATAAATTATTGAGAAATTGTGTTTATTTAGTAAGTAAAATTAAAGTGTGACAAAATTGACAAAAAAATATCTGATTGTCAAAAGTGCCTAAAATCAAAAAGCTCAGCATTTGTCAACTTTCTGTAGTCAATTTTGACCTAAGTCAATATTGTATTAAAATAAATTTGTGGTTTTGACAGCTATGTAGTGTTGTTGACTATATACACTTCTTTCTGCAGCAAAAGTGACATTATACTTGCTTTAATTTGCGGTTTTGTGTAAATTAAGTAGGTGTTTTATTATTTGTGAAATAAAAAATTTACTTAGGATCTCCCCCGAAATTCAATCTTTATACCGAATTTCATAAAAACCGACCCAGGTTGTTTGGTTGTGAGAGCGTAATAATAACAGACAAATAGTTTTACATTTGTAATATTAGTATTTGTATAAATAAAATAATAGGTACCAGCCTACCTAGAAAAGTATAAAGATTATTCGCTTAGTTACTCGAAACTTTACTTTTAATTTTCTTATAAATGGAATCCTAAATATATTAACGTCTAATATTATGCAACGGTACAGAGAAATTTTTGCCTGATTTTTGTTAAATGGGTTCGCAACTAGGGTTGCCAGGTTGTCCACTTTGATTTAGAAAGATGACACTATATACATTGTACACATTCACAATATTATCGAAATAATAAACACAATATAAAATGTCAGCGTCTCACTCACCCATCAGCAAGCCTGAAGGCAGTAGCGTGTGCAGACAGTGGCGTTGTGTAAAATCATTTCGGTCGTCAAAAATACGATGCGAACGTCACCTCGATGCCATACTTAACGCGGCCTGAAATAAACAATAAAAAATAGATTATAAATATTAGACTTATAGCGATAAATTATATGGGAATTTGTTGATCCTGTTCTAACATGTCTTTACTTTATTGTAGTCACTAGTGGCCGCCAGCGACTTTGTCAAAGCAACTTTGTGTTTTTATACAGCTTAAAGTCTTCCTTGATAAATCAAGAACCGTACTGGTTTGAATTGATCAAATTGAATCCTAAGATTAGCGCGTTCAAACAAACAAACTCTTCAGTTTATAAATTAAGTATAAATTAAAATACTTGATAGACAGCATTTCAAACAACTAAAAGCTCATGTAATTTAGGGATATCAATACATTTATGCACAGGCCGACCCCTCTCAAGTACCACATGCTGAGTGTTATTGATGAGATGAGATGAGTGTTATCGTAAAATCCAGGTCATTTGGGACTCTGCTACTACCGAACTTGCCTTGAGGACTCAAAACACAGTAGCTTCTTGGAAAACCTCCTACTAAGCACCGTCTCGCATCGCACAGATGAACTCTCTCAAAATACCTACTTTAACTCATTTAATTTGATTATCTTATAATTAAAAATGCTATATAGAACATAATCAAATTAAATGGAATTCTCTTAAGACTCAAATTCTTTAAAGAAAACACATAGTTTGCCTTTATTAGAACTATTTTTTTCCAAAATCTATGAATGCAGTTCAGTTTTCTTAAAAAGTTATGGATGGTCTCCTAGAAACGTTTTGCTGTAACTATATTTAGTGTAATCTTGGATGAATCAATTCTATAATGAGTAATTTCTTGATAATAAAAATAGAGATAATGACTGATCCACTTTTAACATGTACTTACACTGATAAATTATAAGAACTCAAACATTATCATTATTTTAAAATCTTTAGTCATTTTTTGCAACACACTACATCAATACAGGTTTCCTTAATGTGATAGCATTAAATTAAAACTTAAATGACATTTAACAACAGAGTATATAGACTTTGGGACAACGACTGGGTGAAAGAAAATAAATTCTATTTAATCCATTGATTAGATAAAAGAAAACTATTAGATATGTATTTTTTTTTTACTTCAATTTAACAAGAAATAGCTTAGATAACAGGCATTACAGTTGAGGAGTGGAGGCTCGCTATGTCAGTTTTGTAAAAAAATTACATTTTAACTCAATGTACAAAGCGTGACTTTTAAACTCAAAGTATCACCAGAATTAATGATGACAAAAAAAATATGTGGTTAACATTTCAACAATCTACCTTACGGACAAATAAACAAAATTGGGTGTCAACCTTATTACCCGACTGCGGGACGCAAAAAAAGGGTAATGTGTTTATCAGTCTTATGTATGTATGTATGTTTGTTTCTATGTGGCGTTCTGGAGACCAAATGCGTAAGCCGATTTGATGATTCTTACGTCAATCGATTCGTAACCAGACGCCATATTGTCATACATCAATCGATTCATCTCAACCTTGCGAGTGTCATTAAAGACATGACAATAATCAAAATTCACCACAGCGACAACCAGACGCCATATTGTCTAAATGAAAAAAAAAAAATGGATAAACTATGTCAAGTGGGGTATCGTTGAATGGGTATTTTAAAATCATCTTTAGGTTCCTTTTATTATTTTTCATTTTAAATAATAGTTTAAGATATATAACGATTTAAAGTTGTTTAACAAAACATTCTCGCTAATTTTCTTACTTATTGATTAAAGTTTTTATTTAAAGTATAAACGATATGATACGATATACAAAAAAAAACAGTGAAAAAGCATGAAGAACAAATATTTTTGGTAAAAAAATAAAGCATATGTAGCTTTGAGCCGAGCTAGGTCTCTAGAGGGACTAATCATCAGTAGTTTAGACCACCGCAAGTTACTTAATAATCTCCACAATATTAACTCCCTCAATGAAATAACTTGATTGCGAAATTTACCATCTTATAACAAAGTCAACGAATCGTAACTAAAAAGTATAAAATAAAAATAAATAATTTAAAGAAAAACAAAAATCCCAACTGTGTAAAAACGAATTAAAAAAATACATGAAAGAATAAACTTAAATAAAAACTAAAAAGAAAGAAACAAGCCCAGTAGTTTAGAATTCTGTTAAGTAATACAGAACAGAACGACTCATAGTCGGGGCCCCTTAGAAAGATTTGTTTGGTAAAATTTGAATGGGCCCCGACTATGAGTCGTTCTGTTCTGTATTACTTAACAGAATTCTAAACTACTGGGCTTGTTTCTTTCTTTTTAGTTTTTATTTAAGTTAATTCTTTCATGTATTTTTTTAAATTCGTTTTTACGCAGTTGGGATTTTTGTTTTTTTAACTAGTGATGCAATACTATACAAATATTTTTATTATCAAACAGCAACTATTTATGGAAATTTCTAACTTCTAGATATTAATGAATATTGAATATGATCTGCATAGAAACTAAAATTAATTACAGTTTGGCTGTAAATACATATATGTGCTATATTACTTTTAATTTATACATTAAATGATGATTCCCCATTTTGCGACATATGGAAAAGTTTCCATAAAAGCATAATTAGAGTTTAGACAAATATTAAAAGATAGCTTTTTTTTAAATATGTGTTACAAAGGCTTTTTGAACTAAATATTGTTAATGGTAAATTATAGTGATTGCATCTAGTTAGTAAAAAAGAACAGTGTATACATATTACATTGTTGAATTAAATTGATCCAAATAAGAGTAACTTCCAATTGGACAACTACAAATTGGACTAATTGTAAATTAGACCAAAAACTTTATATCGAGAGTAATGCTAATTGAAGTAAAAAGTCCTTATTAAACAACTAAGTTAAATACATTTTAATATGGAAGTTTTAATAAATCAAGGGCTGCTACACTATATTCTATATTTTCTTGCCAAAAGTTGTACATAAGAATATATTATTGTCAGTTAAGACTATAGTAGTGACAAATAACCAACTTACCATATATATGAATACTATAAGATAAATATCTTATAAGATATATCACAAGAATTTACTGCACATATAATAGAAAAAGTACCTTTAAATGAGTACCACAAATAAATTTAATTATCATGATATTCCATTGATTTTAATTTCACTACAACTGGTGATATCTCAAAATATTTCGATAAAAATACACTCCTGGATAGATAACCTACTTTTAAAACATGTAAGTATAAACAGAAATGAGCCACCAATAAACTGAATATTACTACTTGTATGGTTAAAAATTTGCCAGTGTCACAGTTAAATATATTTACAGATTGAGAACAAGTAAACACTGAGTCAATGTGCAAAACCTGTTTTGTATTGTGGTTAATTACAAAATTGTTCCCATTGCTTTACCTAATGAAGTATAACAGTATAATCATAAATATCAGTGCAATTGTAATTTTACTTGCAAATACATAAAAACGTTATCAAAATAAACGCTTAATTTATAATAAAAATCAGATAGGCTACATAATTATCAATCAAAAGTGTGTCGGTGCGACCTTCTATCTACTGGCAATACTATTTAATAATTAATTTTGGTATTACATGTCAAAAGAAATATACTCACTTTATAATGCAAATTGAAAATTATAGTTTCCCTGCGGGTACGTAATGAAAAGTTCGTGAAAATATAAATTAATTCCACCTTTCAAAAGAATCACGAAAGCTGCAAAAATGACAGTAATAGGGATGCAAAGATATATCGAAAGGATATATCGAAGAAGGTTTATCGCAAGATAAGCCGAAAATAACGATATAATGACGTCCAAAAATATCGATAAATCTTAATAACGAAGAAACAGTGATATCGATTTGTCGTTATCGATTGATATCCGAATTTCGAAAGTGCCGTAAAAATTGAACAACCATGACATTAAATTATGTTAAAATAAAAAAAATTCAAATAAAGTAACAAAAAAGTACGTTTAAAGCATTTAAAGACAGTACAGATTATCTTTGGTTTTTTCATAATTTTTTTTATTATTGTAACTGGATGCATTTGTCAAAAAGCATAGAGTATAAACTATATGTCAAAAAGTCTCGCGCGCCATTGTTGTTCGCGCAAGACGTTTTGTTAGGCTAATCTTCGTTAATTACATCATAAACTTGTGTATTATTTTTTTAAATAATCGCTAAAATATTATTACATATCACATAACATCTTACTGCAATGGGACTACCGGGAATGCCGGAAGACAAACTGCCATCATGTTGGACGGACGATGTTCGAATGAACGCATTATTTGCACCATTTCGAATAAAGGCTGCTAATCCAGAATCATGGGATATGAAGATGAAATTTTGGTCTGATATGCTTAGACAGTGGTGTAAATATAAGAAGGATCCAATAGTGTCTGCTGCGGATTTCAAATTTGCGTTTCAGCGTAAAGGAAGAACACCAGCATGCATAGATATTGTCGTCGAAGAATTGTTTCGGTATGTAATGTCTATTTTTACTTTGTATTTGTTTAGGTTTCGGGATCGCTACAGGCGCTAGTTTGGTTAAATAATTCAGGAAGCGACAATCGTTGGTTTTTTTTTTTAAATCTTTCTTTTAAATCTTTCAATTTACTGAAGGTCAAGTTATGTAGTACTTTGTCAACTGTTTTTTTTTTATTACTAGCATATTTATATTGAGAACTTTGCTTCCTATTGTAATTATTACTCTTAATATACAGTGTAAACTCAAAAACCAACACAAATAATTTTTGATTTACTGGCTATGTTAACAGTTTCAAAGTTGGTTTACAACTGATAATACGAGTTACCCAGTATGCTTGATTGAAAACCACCACTTCCAAGAGAACATCGGTTGTGTTCAAGGCAATTAAGTATAACAAATTAAGAGGGCTGTTTAGGACCTTGGAGCTTCAAAGTATATTGTTACTTAATAATATAACATAAACAATAATACTGATTATTAATATTTACTCTTAATATGAACATATTTTTTCATAATACAGAATGTCTGTATCGTTATATGCTTAAAAAATCCACTTTGTCCCTGTTACAAAGTGGATTTTTTAACAACAGTATAGGATTGCGAATGTAAAATTGATCAAAAATAAATAAAGTAAAAATGATATCATTGTTTTTAATTTACTGTACCTGGCTTGGATCTTTAATAAACAACAACTTTTGATTTTGCTCCTCATACCACAGACTAAACATCTGCTATAACAATTTCCCTTTTTTTTTTATCCGAAACTAGTTAAATTACTAACTTATAATTATCAGATATTACACACCACATAATTTTTCAAGTAAATGAGTCTTAATGTTGATACCACTTTTAGTTCTTATACTACTTTCAATTGTCACATTTGTTTGATGATTTTCATTTCTACTGGTCTGCTTATAATATGAATTCACAATACTTAAATTAATATCAGTTTTTATTATACTTCTATCATTGTTTAAATCATAATTTATTTCTTCCTTATATTGCCCACCCTTTATCAACCATTTTCTATTTCTTATTAATAAAACACAGTTTTATTTTTTCACAAAATATGATCTGGGATTTGTACTTTTCTACTATCATTAAATTTTCATGAGGTTTGGTATTATTTTCATTTTGTATTTTAACTACTTGACCCTTTTTTAAATGTGAGAAAGTCCTAGTTACAGTACTTATTACAGTACTTTTCCTGTTGATGTTGTCTTTTATATAAGGTTTCCCTAAATTGGTGTCTAGATTTCTCATCCAATATTTCATTACCCTTTATATTCAGTAGTTTTATGCTTCTATTATATTATAATTCTGCTGGAGATGTCTATATCAATTGTTGTGTTTCTGTATATTAGGAAACTTATTTATTACTCATTATTCAACTTAACATTACCAACTCAATAGTGTAACATGACATTCATTTTGCTACTCATAACACAGACTAAACATCCATTATAACAGTTATATGGCTAATCTTCTTTTACATTGGCAACAATGGAAATCTATATAGTTAGTCCTCCATATCATACAGTTTTCACTTACATTCTTATTCTTGGATGCCTTATACCTAAGTAGATCAAGAGCACTTTTATGAACTGTGCTCATGATTTATGTGTACACTTTAAAGGTATTGTAAAATTATGTAATTAGCATCAATTTATTTTTAGTAATGGAGATCTAAGCCCTGTCTCGAAGTATCAGCAAATTCTCCACAATGGTCCAGAAGGTTGGGTCCGCTGGGGTGCTAGATTGGCTTTCAGGCCTGCTGCATTTGCACTCACTGCTGTCTCATCATTACTCCCTGGTAGACAAACCCTGGATACTGATGGACTACCCAAAGCTAGCATTGACTGTACACAGAGATTTGTGTTGGAGAGTGCGGTAAAGGTAACTGAATACTGATTTTAATTCTTTATTATTGCAATATGATTTGTACACTTTATGTTGATTTTTCAATTTCGTATCAATATGTCATGTTAATAATACATATTAAACTATCTAGTTTTTATAATTAGATTCTGAAACAATAGTCTTTATTTGATTACTCTTCATATTTATTAAGAAAAACCTTCTATAGCACAGTCGCCAAAAAGGAGTGTAGACAACATTTTTACATTTTTATTTAGATATACATGAAATAGTATCATTCATGAATAAGTTAAAATGTATAAATAAATAACTCTTTCTGTTCAGTGATAATGTGATATAAAACTTAAAAAGATTGTCCACTAGCGGCATAAAAGTGTTTTTTTTTTTCTAAACAAGAAAAATTATTTCTCAAACAGGATCAAGCTATGGAGTTATTACTTAATTATCCAAAAGATATTGAGCGCATTGGTACTGTAGATGAACTGATGCGTCACTGCGACTGGCAGCACGGCAGAGAGACCTATGAACTGCTGCTGGGATTTTTGGTGGCGCAGGGGTATGCGGTGAAGAAAGATGACGTTGTGAAACTAGGTAAATAATAATAATAAGACTTTATTACACACTACAAAGAACCATTAAATTTACATGTCATATATACTTATAATTAATACAATTTCATTCTTAAATTACACAAATATCTTGTTTAGTCACATTATTTAATTTATGCTTATATTATGTCGATATTGAATTGAATTATTTATTTATGTCAATGTTAGATTTTTATATGTCAATATTTAATAATTTGTTTCGTTGATTAAATCTTTTCAATTAATAAATGTCAATCTAGTCCATGTCATTCCTGCAGTTCTTGCTAGTTTGTCTTCCCATCTCCACTGCCTCCCTCTCCTCCTTTTCCTATCTCTGGGTATCCAATTTAGTATTGTTTTACTCCACTTTTCTGTGCGTCTTATAACATTACCTGCCCATCTCCACATTCCTTTTATTACCTTTCAGTGACATCTATCATTTTGGTCTTTGCTCTAATTGTGGAATGTCTTAATTTTAGCATTTTCGAAATACTTGACATGCTTCTTTCCATCGCTCTTTGGCAAGTCCTTATTTTTCGCAGATGGGATCTATTAAGTGACCATATTTCACATCCATAAGTAAGAATGGGAAGTGTGCAAGTATTGAAGAGTTTTCCCTTTAAGCTAGCAGGAATGGTTTATTTTTCATGATTTCCTTTAGTGACCAATAGCACTTCCAGGCTCCACTTATTCTTGTTTCGATTTTTTTATCTGTCATATATAGTGGTGAGATAATATGTCTTAAAAAAAAAATCAAAAAAGGTTTATTTACATATCAAATCAGTGTGAACTTTTGTTTGTGATAACAGTCCTAGTAAGTATTTAAAAATACCTGTATCAGGATGTAATCGCTCTTCAGGACCGGATTAAACATAGGTGAGTAATTAAATTAAAAAAAAAAGAAAAAGAAAGCGTGTGTGTGTGTGTACGCATGCGTGCGTGCCTACGTGCGTGTTTATGCATTGGCGATGTCTTTTTTTCCAATGATGCCCTGTCCTTTTTTCTCAAGTACTTATATTCTATTTTGTCTTTACTCACCAAAATTGGAAGTTTGATTCTATTCGTCATGACCTTGGTTTGGACATATTCATGGCTAACCCCACTTTTCTGCTTTGCTCATTAAGCTCTTCTACCATTTTTTGTAGGTTGTTAACACAGTCTGGAAATATAACGATCAGCAAATCTTAAATGTGTCATATGACACATTTAACATATTCCTCCCAATTCAGTTCGCGGAAAATACCCTCTAAAATCGCCGAAAACAGCTTTGGAAACAACGGGTCATACTTCCGAACTCATGCCATATACTTTTGATTTTTGGAATAACTATTTTACTACCAGAATATGATCCATTACAGAGTAGTGGCTACGGAATCTCGCTTGCTCCCGTGGTTGGTTCTCGTCAAGGACCTTTGTTATGCGATTCAGTATGACCTTTGCAAATACTTTGTAAATATTTGACAGTATGCTTATGGGTCTGTAGTTCCCTATGTCATTTCTGTCGCCTTTTTTGTAGAGGAGAGTCATTGATGATGTCCATTGCTGCGGTATTTCCTCGGACGTGAGAATTTCATTAAATAAATTGGTGAGTAGAGGTGTTATTAAATCTTTATTTGCCAACAGATATTCATTGCTTATTTTATCAGAGCCTGTAGCCTTGCCTTTCTTCTGTGATTCAATTGCTTTTTGAACTTCACTGGCAAATATGGTGGGAACGTCTACCGAAGGAAATGTATGATGTTGTTTGTCTGAAGCTGTGTCTTGCTTTGTGTAGTGTCTGGTAAAATTTTGTGGCAATTTCAATTAAGTCTGGTCTCTCGCATCCTTTTATCTTTACTTGATGAGTTCTTGAGATATGGTATCCATTCCTTTGCTCTTTCCAGAGTCTTCCAAGCACTCTTATCACCACCTGCGGCCTTTATTCTGTCTTCAAATGTTTTCATACGATGTTGTCTTGTATCATGGCTCGTTCTTCGGTCGGTCTTATTTTTGCATTTGATTAGCAAGGATCTCCTGTAAAGTAGATCCTTTTTGTTGCTGGAAAGATGTGAAGCTGTTAATTGATTCTGCATTATCAGAGGGTTGGAGCACTTTGTAATAAGGGAGTCGTATTTATTCTGGATTGTGGATTGTGAGTCTGAAAGTATAACTTTTAAATAATTTCCTATTGGTTGATTTAGTCTCTGCTGCCAGGGTGTAGCTTTGTTATGAAACTTTTTTCTCGCAAAATTTCTTGATATTTTCTGTTTCTCTATCTTTAATTTACATCTCCCCATTCTGTGGTTAGTGTTAAAATTGAGGTTGTGAATAGCCCCGCAGTCTTCTAAAGCTTATGCTTGTTTGTCAGTATGTAGTCTATTTCGTTTTTGCTTTTGCCGTCAAGTGATATCCACGTCCACCTTCTGCTTGGATTCTTTTTGTAGACTGTATTCAGTATTGTCAGATGAAATTCGAGTGTGAAGTCGATTAGGTTTTTGCCGTTCCTTGTTCGTTTTTTACCTGTGCAGTACGGACCCAAAACAATTTCTTCTCCTTCCCGTCTATAGCCAATCTGTGCATTGAAGTCGCCCATAATTATTAGATTTATACCAATTAAGTTTTCTATCAGTTCTCTTAATTGTGAGTAAAAGGATTGTATTTCTTTTTTGCTAGTCTGTTCTGTGGGTGAGTAAATCTGTATTATATTCTATATTATATATTGCTCTAATTTTGGTGGCATCTCTATGGTAATAATAATATGTTAACCTACATCAAAAGCAGCGTTAGGTCTAAATATTAAAACGATTATATATATACGATTCTTTATGGTAACACTCCAGTAAACTGGCCCATTAGATGATGGATTGTGATCAAATCAAAGTTTAGAATTGATGGCAAAAACAAAATATCTGTATAATATGTGAGCCAATTCAAATATTAAGTCCTATGTGTTTACATTAAACGAAACTATTAGATTGAGCAGGAAGCAAAAGTCACTTGATAGACTGTTGGAGCATTACTTTTGTTGCCACATTTTACGGGCCTCTGTATTTCAACTTTGAAATATAGAAAGTAATCTTAATATAATAATTGATATCTTAAATAATGTCTATTTATTGGACTAACATACTAATAACATATTTCGAATTAACATAGAAGTTAATTCTAGGCGAGAGTTATAAACTGTTCTTTCTTATATAATAAACTTTCCACTTTCTGAGTGGTTCCAATAGCTTCTTGGCTGTAAGAGAATTTCGTGTCCTTCTCCATCAGCCGATCCTGACAAGAAAGTGTCACCAGTGACAGAGACGGATGAGGCTCTGGTGAAGTTGATGTCGGCGGAAGGTCGTCTGGAAGCAGAATTATCCAAATTGCTAAGGGACGCAGCAGCCGCTGAAAACGACGCACGAGCAGCCCTACAGCTCGGAAACAAACTAGCTGTGAGTGTTATAATAGGGTTTGAACTACTGTGTTTGAAAAAGTACTTGTTAGCGTTTATTTTGATTTAATTTAATAGGGAATATGCGTCTGACACAAAAATGGGTTAAATATATTTAATTAATCAATCCTTCAAAATCCATATTGATTTAAAATGTGATATCTCAAGTCACGACAGGTGCGCCAAAAATTCCGAAATTTGAAGTGTTGTCATTTTGTTATTACATTCATCATTTTTATTACTTAATTGTAGTTTTCTGCTGCCGGGTATTATTTTAAAGTTACATAAATTATCATATAAAAATATTAATCATTACGTGTACTCTCTATTAAGTAAAAAAAATATTTTGCATAATTTCTTGCATTAAAAAAAAATTCAATATGTACACAAAACAGATTAATAGATTAAAAGATATCAATCAGACAACAGTGCCATCTAACACTACAAAATTGATATAAGAACCAGCCAAGCCAACCTAGGGATCTAATATAAAATAAATAGGCAGCTGTAAGTCAGCTGCCTATTTATTTTATATTAGATCCCTAGATTAATCTGACAGATTCGGCTATGTTTCTGCCGATACAAAATCACAGCACATTGTTTCACGTGATGCACAGACAAAACAATTAATAACGAGTCTTCATTAGAGATGAAACGGATGTCCGGATACTATCCAGTATACGGCCTATCCGGCCATTTTATTTTTTTATCTCTGACCCAAAACGTATTGCTAAATATTCAAGGTAGTTCTACCGTATTCCAAATTAAATATACTCCATAATTTTGAAAAGCAAAGATTTGTTCCATTCGCTAGATTTCAGAGTTGGTAACACCGTGTATACTTGACTCGCTATAGATTCAAATCAAACTGATCGGGTCGTGTAATGCGATAAATGCCGAATATCCGGTAGCCGAGTATCCAGCGCTCCGACCTCGGAGCTTGCCGAATATCCGATATAGGGTATCCGGCCATACCACTATCCGTTACATATCCAGTCTTGATATATGGTTAGTAAGGTGTAAATAAAATACAAACTAATAAATTTCATTATAATTTGTATGCACACAGCGCATCTGCACAACAAAATATTTCTATCTACGTTTCTATATGCCAATGAGGTTTTTTTTTATCATAGATTGATGAGCTTTATTACTCGTAAACATTTTTGTATAGTAAGTAATAGTTGTAATATATTTTTTTTAACTAGGCAAAGAATCATCTTCGTAAGAAGTTGAAGGCTCAACAGCGCGCGTCACGTTGCGAGACAACATTAGACAACGTGAGACAACTGATGCACCACGCGCGAGACTCACACGTTAACGCAACCATTGTGGACACATACAAGTATTATTAACTTATTTATTTGTTATATATTACCTTTCATTTACTGCCGGCAGGGTCGGATTTGAGGTAGAGGGGGGCACTTACCCGGGGCACCAAAAATCATCATTTTTTTTTTAACTAAGAAGGTATTATCCTTCTTACAGTTAAAAAATGAGCTTTTTATCTCATTTTATTATCGGATATAGTTGTGTTGTGGGGGGGGGGGGGGGGCTAAAAAATCTTAGATTCGGGCCTGATCGCCGGCATCATAAGAAGCCGGTAGGGTAATTCTGCTAATGTTAGCGTAATTATGGAATGTCAATAGCAATTCAAATACAACCCTTTATGACACAGTTCTTGTTACTGGATCACTAAACAATAAATATATGTCACCATTCATTTGTGAGGAAGACATAGCACAAATAGTATTGGACTTCAGTTCTAACTCTATATGTAACTAGATATGGGATACTTTTGGGGTGCGATCAATTCCCTAAAAATTAGATTAATTCCCTAGTGGAATGGCCTCTTTATACCGCGGGCGTCTTATGAGAACCGCGGTCAGTAATATAATCATTTTTAAAGTTGTTTTTAGCCGGTGAGATAGCAACAAAATGGCGTCAAGGACGTCAGATTACCAATGAAAATTCTCGTTTTCATTTAGACCGCGCTAAAGGAGTCAAACCTATTTATCGGCTAATATCAGCTTTTTAGAGCGTTATCTTTGTCTTACGTTTAACAGTGAGGATCTTTTAGGAGGTTTTAAAACCACAACTATAGTGTGACACAGAGTCAGCACTTTATGGAGATGCAATGTTTGGCCGAATATCATAAGTGTATTTAACATTTCTCTTACAGAACCACTTCTCAGGCTATGAAGAGAAACATGAAAGAAAACAATATGGACGAAGACGCTGTACACGACACAATGGATGAACTTAAAGAAGTAAGCTAGACAAGCCAAGAATTAACATATTTCATAACGACTTGAAACCGGTTCACAAAAAACCGGTTAAAGTAAAACCTGCTCTGTTGTAATGTTCCGTTCCAGAGCGTAACTGAATGCGAAGTGAAATTCGGATTAAATAAAAAAGGTTTATTCGCTCGGCTCGTAAAAAGCAATGTCCTTACGTTTTTAAATGCGAATGTATTATGTTTACTTGACAACATTCATTATAACTGTGAACATGTTTATCGCCTGGAGTAATATTTAAACCGGTTAATGGATTTACCTGTATTATTTTAGTGAACTAGTTCGAAAGAACGTCATCTTTTAAGTTCCGCATGTGCTTAGGTAGAACCGGTTCAAAAAATAAACCGGTTTCCAAGCCCTCTATTTAGTAGTCTTATAAAATTATTTACGTATATTTTTTATTTAACGGTATAGTTATTATTTAGCACACTTTTATGTAAAAAAATTATACGCAATTTTTATTTCTTAGGTGATGGATTCTTATAGCGAAATTGCAGAAGCACTTAGCTCTGGACCCGTAGACTACGATACTGCTGATTTGGAGCAGGAACTTAAGGAATTACTGTCCACATCTACTGTTAAAACTCAAGGTAATTTGAACTCTATTGTATGTACTAAACGTTATATTGTATTTATTTATTGAATTATATTGCTAAATATTAATAAACTTTATTTAAGTCGCAAAATATTGTCATACTAGATAACAATATTATCACTTAAAACTAAAATTTGAAACTAAGACATATTTAATTAACTTTTAGTTATCATAATCCCTTGATATTGATTGCATTTTGTGTAATAGTTTACATTTAGATTAATACTATATATTATAGAACTAGTTGTAGCTTCCCATAGATGAAAGAATTTTTAAAATCGATTAAGTAGAATGAAATCTATTCGATGTACACAATTAAATCTTTTATGTTAATAATATTTGTATGGATGACCTGATGTACCTACTTCGTGTCACCTCGCAATGTTTAAACTATCCCTGGACTACAACAAACTTTTCAAAACAATATCAATGATACTGGGCAAGTTGTTCTCAAATTAACAACAATTGATTTTCTACACTAATATTATAAAGAGGAAAGATTTCATTAAAATTTATAGATAATCGTGCGATTTAAGACACAAAATCTGAATTCCTATTTTTATTATGATGTAAATTTTAGTTTTTGTGCAATTTCGTGACTTATTTTGCACTACCCAAACTACCTTATTGTAACAAATCCGAATCTAAGGCGGCATTTCAAACAAAATGACGAGTCTTAGAAGTCAATTAGGTACAATTTATGTTTTCTTTTACAACGAAACCAACTTTAACCTAAAATTACTTAATATAAATCCTATTTTGATAGATACAAAGCTCACGCCAAAGGAGAAATCTAGGAAAGTATCCGAACGTGATTTCGTATTCGACGGCGAAGCCAGAGTCTTGGCCGAACTCGATCAGCTGGACGTTGAAAGCGGGAGCCCTAAGGAGATGGAAGGGAGACGTGCGAGCGAGAAGGAACAAGTTGCTCTGCCCGAAGGTGTTGTCAGCGGTTAGTGGTTAACTTCTATATTGGATTTAACTATTTTTATGAATATAACATAACATTAATATTTTGTTCATTGTTTTTGCTCAAAAAGTTTGTCCATCATTTTAGCATACTAAAGCAGACTCAAATACAATTTCTTGCTACAGGCTTTCGATTGTAGTATTTTTTTTTTTTAATATAAACATTTTGTTTACCATTCTTGTTCAAAAAGTTTGTCTGTCATAATAGCATACTAAAGCAGACTCAAATACCATTTCTCACTGCATACAGGCTTTCGATTGTAGTATTATTTTTGTTAATATAAATAAAATTAACATTTTGTTTACTGTTCTTGCTCAAAAAGTTCGTCCATAATAATAGCATAGTTCTTTTCTAGTCTGTGATTAGTATTATCAAGAATTTTAAGTAAATTTAATGAAATTAAAAATATTATTCATTAAGGTATCTTAATAATATTTCGATTATAATACCTTTAAGATTAGAGATAATGTAAATGTTTTTCATAATTAACATATAGATTTGCCAAAAGAGAAGCGTTCCCCAAAGAAGTCTAGCCAACCATGGTATCCTCCAATGTCGAACGTACTTCGGCCAGACGAAGCTTGGGGCAACAATAACCTTGACTCCCTTGATAGCTCGTTGGACAGATTAGCGAGCAGTTTTGGAGAACTCCGGACTGATGATAGATTACATCCAGGTATGTATTAAATACGTCATGTATTTAATTATTTAAAATGTCACGTATTTAATTCATCAAACAGTAGGAACTAAAGTGCTCGAGGCTCGAGTGCGTATTTGAAGATAAAGGGGGCTAGTATACTTTATACTGGCCAAGTGAGAGTCGGTTTCATGCACGAAGGGTTCCCTACCGGAAAATATGAAAAAGTCCATATTTATTTATTGTATTGGAGCCCCTTTAAATATTTTTTTATTCTGTTTTTTTAGTATTTGTTGTTATAGCAGCAACAGAAACATCTGTGTATATTTCAAATGCCTAAGAAGAATTAAATGTCTCGGACAGAGGAGTCTAAGTAATTGGGATCCGTTTTTACCCTCGAGGTACGGAGCCCTAAAAGTTTAAAAAGTATATCATATATTTACAGATGTTGTCAGAATCAAAACAAGAATTTAAAAAAAATACTATATAAAAAACCATAAAGTTACCCCTAAACTTTTAAATTTTTACAAGGTTTTATTTAACATGTGTTAGTGTGGGTCAAATCCACAAAACTAAATTTAACTCACTTCCGATTTTCGATTCATCTGAGAGTCTGCATAATATACCACACTGTCAAGAAACATTGAATAACTAATATTATAAAGAGGAACGTTTTTTGATTGTGTGTTTGCAACTGTGAACTACTGGACTGATTTTAAAAATTCTTTCACCAGGAAGATCTTATACAGGAAGCTACATATCATATGCGATGAACATAGGCTATGTTTTATCCCGAAAGAATGCGATGGAAATGGCGTGGAAGTTTGTATATAGAATTAAAACGTTGCCATAGTAACCATTGTTTACTAATTTGTGATATATCCAACAGTTCCCTAAGAAGAAAGCTAGTGCATTGCAAATCATGGTATTGTTTCTGTGGCAGGCCAACCTCTCAACGTGGACTTCACTACTCCACCTAAGTTTTACAACACCGAGTTCCAAGTGCGCGACCACAAGTACACGGGCGGTGTTTGGTTGTATAGCGACCGGGATTCGAATCCCAATACCGCCAGAGACGCTAACAGTAATGTACACACCGATTTGACCGCCAGCACTGAGTATTTCAGGTAAGTTACGCCAATAAGGGTGTAGACAACCTTTTTTATTTTAATTTTATAGATAAATGTGAATATATTAAAAAAATAATAAAAAATATTTGCTGTTGTATAATTAATTTAAGAAATATTATAAGTATACTAAGCATAAAATTGTGATTATCGATACTAGCAACTACCAGAAAAAAAAACTATTTTCGTTTACTGTCCACATCCGTACTACTGTTCTTTATTGACTACTTTACAGTTCTAACCATAAGTTATGAAATATATTGAAAATGGTTACTTACAACAATTTTTGTTTTTAATAATTATACTTAATGTTATGTTTTTGCGAAATTAACTTGCTATTTATAATCTGTGGGTTACAAGAACCAGAACGCAGGTGGTTATGGCGCATCATGTGACGTCATATTTCAATAAACTAAACGTCAACATCTTTTTGTACTCATGTTCATTGAAATTGAGATCACGACTTAAAATGTCACTTGATCGATTGACGAGTTTATTTAATAACACTTTGGAGAAAGTGGAGAAAAACAGTCAAGTATCCAAGTTGATTAAATATTGTTTGTAGAGCCCTTACATGGTTCTTATGTGAACTGTCCTAGTCATATAAAACCATGAAACACAACACAAGAGGAGCAAATAAAGAAATAGCAGTTTCATCAAAACCGAATTAGATATACTAAACGGATTTTCTGTACCTAACCTCCTCACAAGTTAAAGACAGGTAACATTATAACGGGGGATTGGTCAACTTTCAAGAAACTATTTTAAATTCATATATATGGATACTTATTCCTACAAAAAATATTATTTTATATAAATGAACGCTATTTCGTTCCTAATATTAGGTTTAAAATTTAACTGATTAAAAAAAAAAACAAAAATAATGATGCACACATAATCACGGATACGATGTTAACAAAATTAGGAGAACGTTTCGAAATTTTCCGAATTTTCGTTTGTGGACAAATAGAATAGGCCCTCAGGAGAGGGATTCCGAAAAATCTAAACCTGCATTCGAATTCACTTAGGTGACCAAATACATGTCATTTAGTTATAGAAATTCTACTGATTCCATTTTTTTTTTTAGTATAAAAATATTGATTGTCATAAGTGTCACAGATATTCTATCCCTATGTCATTTCGAAAAATTCATTTCACTTATGCCACACAACGTTAATACCAATTCAAGGTTAAGCTGATCTTGCTTTCTAAATGAATTCATCAGACAGCTGAGTTTATTCGAATTTGGGTTCGGATTTTTACGGAATAGTTCTACAGGTGTTTTAATTTTTATGAGTTATACATATATTTTCCTACAGCTCTGAGAGTCCAGGCAAAACTGGTGGCACGTTCCAAATGGCACCGGGTGGTGAACGACAGAAACGTAATGAGTGGCCGCAGGAGAAATCAGTGGAAGACATAGAGAGGCGATTGAAGAATCTCAGGGGTTTCAATTTATAATGGCAGTGGTTGTGGTGAACGCTCTAGTGTTGCCAACTGTGAATAAATGTGATAAACAAGTGTTAAGTGATTTTTAGTGCATAATTGTGTATCAAAGATAGCTAGTGTCGTTTGGTAGCTTTTGTATTGTGGAACTTGATATTAATGGTTTGTTAATGCAAAGGGATCTACCCCATACAACCATATCTGAATTAATAATTATAATGAAAAATTCTTTATTCAAATAAGTTTATTATCAGCACTAATGAATTGTCCAAAAAAATTCTCAACCTTCAACATATTGTCTTTTGGCTGACATAAAAAACAAATGAAAGAGATTTGGCAGCTTTATCAGAAGTAATGTCATTTTAATTATAATTATTTTGTTTCTGTATTAAAAGATTGTTTGTTGTTTCACACTTTTTTTTTGTAAACAAACAAAAGATGCATTGTCTATTGGACTCTAACTGCATTTAAGGAAACTCAATGCTACTGTAAATATTAATCTGATATTGAAGGATTCTTATAATTATTTGAAAAGTTATTTCTTTATGGCAATGACATTGGTAAAGAATACTCACTGCATTACTAATTCTTAAACAGTTTTGGTTACATTTAATTTTTTTTTTAATAAATTAGTAAGTTTGTTCCATCAGCCTCCAAAGCGATTATTTTTAGTGCCATTATTTGTATATTATTATTATTATTTAGAATAAAAAGAATGACACTGTCTGTTGAGTTAGGAGGTTTTGTTACGTGCGTATAAAATATACAGGGTGTTTCAAATAAAGATCATTCATTGTTTTAGTGAATTATGTACTTTGATACATAAAAAAATATATATAAATTTTTCTACATCCTTATATTGGCAAAATTGAAAGTTCGTCCTTTCACATTCTCATTTTGTAAGCAACAGTCTCTGAAATGCATAAATGTTTGTACTCAGAAAACTCTGCCACTCAGTCCCAGATGCTCTTTTTCTTCCCAAAAAGGACCTTAGTGTGGTGAATCCTTGAGAATAGCTATAGAGCTATACAGAACAATAAGTTTATTAAATCCAACCATGAATACTAGACGTAAGAGCTTTCAAACAAAGTATTAAATATGATTATGATGATGCCTTTTTAGAACATCCTGTATATTATATTTATGTCAATGACTGATTGTGTGTATGTATTATAATTAGATAATGCTGTAATATAATTTTTTGTAATAAACAAATGTTAACTAAAATATGGTTAATAAGCTTAAGGATACAAAAAAAATGTAAATACTTTGAAAAAAGCTTTCATTAACCATATTATATTTAAAAAGTAAATATTTAACTCAAAAAAAAAATTAAAAACATAAAATAATTTGTTACAAAAAAATATTACCGATTTGCCTTTTGTAAATACAACCTAATGTCTTGTTCGTAAGGTTGTTTTTGCCTTAATAGTTTCGATGGTAGTATTAAATGATAAATAGCAAAATTTCTTGACAATTTTTAGTAACAAGCAAACCATGACTAATGTAGGTCACGTGTTTTCACTTTAGCTGTTTTGTTATAAAGAAAATGATATTTGAAATCAGTTTGATTTCGTCCTTATTGTGGTTAATTTTATATTGTTATTTTATAATTTAAAAAAAAATAGAAATGGAAATATTAAAATTCATATTTATGAACAAACAAATTTAAAATAGTATCAACATATGATTATTTAGATACAATTTACTTATGCTTTAATTTACGGTCATTGTAAAAAAATTTCAACAATGCAACTCTCGTCATCAATATATATTACATATAATAATATATATTACAGAATAACTCGACAAATACGGCGAATCGTGACTCGTGGCTTAAAATTAATAATTATCAACCTTATTTTAATCGTTATAAGGTGTAAAATACAACCCGACGAAGGTCAGGTACGTGGTTCGAAATTTACCTTCTGCGCAAGTATACTGGCAAGAATTTGTTGTTTTATTGTACGCGTAGATCAGTGGTTCTGAAACTTCTTTTGAAGCTGTAAAGAAACCAAATAATAACATGGACCTCTCAAATAACAAAGGGCAATTTTATGTGTGCTCTTTGTTAAAAATTAATGTATTATGTTATACTTGAACTCCGATAATTTGCTGAAATATTACCAATATTTTCGTGGACCTTCAATAAGATAATTATACTGTAAATCGCATGTGATCTTCCGTCATTCTGATAGTCTAATGTTGTATGTAGTTATTTACGATCAGTGCTACTTTAGTTTTTGTATTACCTGATCAACAATCTAACCAGAGGCATAGCAGACCCATCATAAAGAAGGTTACTGAACATGTTTAAAATTTATAATGAGTCTTGTTTTAATAACCATAAAGTGACAAATACAACGCATTAGTTGTCAGTCTTATTCTCACTCATCGGGTGCGATGGCGTACATTGATGAAAAAAAAAGTATTACATTCTCTATAGTAATCGTTAGCAATAAAAATTCGCAAGAATACCCACTGTCGTAAATACAAGCTAATTATATGCATTACAGATATTTTAGTATCTATCGGTAGCACTGATTGCGTTATAATATGAAAAGGTTGTAATCAACGATAAAACAAGAAATAGTAGTACTTGGCGATACACATCTCTTTCACATATTGCTATCTCGCTCGCACAGATGCATCTAGTCAATTTTGTCATAATAAAATGAACCAAAAAGTAAAAAAAAATCTATCAGTATGCACAAAGGTCAACATACGAAATTCTCTGCTTGGAGACTAGACTTGTCACAATGTTTTAAATTATAGATATAATTAACGTTTTAAGTTAATTGCGGGAGTTCGTCGTACAATGTATTTATATTAAAGTAAATCATTATAACTTTGTAAATAAATTGTATAAATATGTAGTTAGAATAAATAAATATTATATGAATATAACCTACGCACAGCACGACTGATTCGTTCAATCGGAACTTATAAATGAAATTCTAAAGCCAAACTTCACTTATTTTATACTACAATGAATGTGTGCACGTACTGAATATTGTAGCATAATCTTGGCCAGGCAGCCCGTTCGCTTATATATCTAAATATGTACCGATTATTATAATTATCTATACTCTATATCTATACTAATAATAGTATACTTACTTTAAATTGAGTAACTAATTTAAGGTATTTAAAGTACCATACCATAAACAAACATCCTTCCCCTGCGACAAAACTCCCGAAAACGTTTTTGTTCAGAGTATTTAAAGTTTTAAATTGCAATTTATCTGTTGTTATAACTTATAAGTTTAACCCTTCATTCTGAACGAACGAAACGGTCGTGCTCTTCGTTTATATTTATATCTCACAGTTAACAAATGTAAGCTGCTATGTTTACAGCAGCAATGTGAATGTTATGTAAGTATTTATATTCATCTTGACTAACATTCGAATCTATAGGGCGCTTGTGCACTACACTGAATTTTCATGTCCGGCGGTCCGATTTTTTCAGGTCCGATATGTCAGGCCATATGTAGGTAATGCGCGCTTGTACACTGTCAGGAATTTTACCGTCCGGAATTTTACTTTTCTCTATTCCGGACCGGTTTTTTCAGGTCCGTGATGGCGGCAATGAAAAACGTGTTTACGCTTGTGCACTGCTGTGTCCGAGATCCGGAAAATTCATAAGGAATAGGCTTGGGAAAAAATAATCGATTTAAATCGATATTTATTCCGGCAATATTGTTAATTTCCAATAAACTTATAATCGATATATATTGTTGATTATAAAATGCTATATTTTATATGATGATTTAATATAGTTGGTATATATCACTGCATATGCTTTTGCAAACTCGGTATAGTTCTAATTATAGAAATATGTTATTATCAATTTTTTTTTAGACAATTGATAAGTATAGATAAATATTTGACAACAGAAGTAATAATAAAGAATAAACAGAAGATTAACAAAAGTAATTAAGTGACACTCAATGTCTTTTTCGCATTAAAATTTTTTTAAATGTATGTTTGTGTCATTAATAAATTTTCTCTCTGATCTCGTAAAGTTCATTTAGCATAATAATTCTCCGCTAACACGGCACTAATTTCGATTTGTTTACGAAATGGCGCCACCGACTGGTCTATCTCTGTAATCGCTGAAAGTTGTTTTTACAAAACTTCGAAAAAAAAATAGCACGTTTAAAAATTTAAACATCAAGTACTAGACCATTATCAGTAATTTTATTCTAATTTCAAAGATATTTTTAGCTATTGTATGTGAATAATGCTGTTCCAAAATTAGTAAGGGTATAAGTTTTTACATCTGATAGTAGTCATCCGATAGTAGTAAAAAAATGCTTTCGTCTTGCCATAATTTATTATGGTCTATGTAAAACGATCAGATCATTATTTAGGTACCTTTCTACGTCTTCGAACGGAATTACGGACGTTCCAAAAATCTCATCGTACCTAGCGTGACGTGTAGCTTCAAAGAGAGCTGCACTACATTGCGCCGCTCCGATCAGGAAAAAAACGGACAAGTGCACAAGCTACTCATCCGAGTTTTTCATGTCATTCCGGACCGGAAAAAATTGGACCGCCGGACCTGAAAATTCAGTGTAGTGCACAAGCGCCCATAGGCGAAGGAAGTAATTACTTGAGAAAATGGAATAATTTAAGCAGATATTATTACCAACAGACAGAAATTAGAATGAAATAAAAACTACTCTTCTTACATCATTCAATTTCTTGTTTATTTGTTATAAATACTTATTTGCTTAAGTAATTACTTTTATTCAACTATAGAAACAGGTGTAAGTAAGTGCATTTCTACAATTCTGTTGACATTTAGAAATTGGTGCCAAATTTATTTTATTTAGTATAGTAAAACATGAAATCAGTTTAATCTGTTACTATGAAATTTATTATTGGAATTTTGTTTCGAATTCAGTTTTAAAGAAACAGAATGACTACTTTCTATGCAAGGAATTTTGTTTATGACATAAGTTTACATTTATTATCTGTGGACGTAATCTAATGGGTAAAAAAATAAGTAAAAGGTGAAAATTAAAAAAAAAAAAAACAAAAAAAAAACTATCCTTTTTGGGTTAATAAAGTAGTTATCGTTTTGTTGGATATGTTTTGATGTACCTGTAATGTGTCTCTTGTTCTAAGTGCCTTTATGTTCTTGTCTGTATTGTTTTTTTATGTGAGTGTCTATGAAATATTTCTTGTAATAATGTGAAATTATGTACTGATTTGTTTAATTTTATACATATGTAATTTAATAAACTGTTGTAGATATTCGTGTA